GGGGGCCGGGCCCCAGCCACTGTGCAGAAATGCAGTTCGTGGCTTGCATTTTGTCTGGGACATGAGGTTACCGACTGATGTGGACATGGGATCTTTGGAGGGTTGATGTAGGAAGTCACCATCGGAGTAAGAACAGGATTAAAAAAAATCCAGGAGGAGGATACTTTCAGAGCCTCCCGCAAGGACTGAGTCTGACAGGAGAGATTGGCTGTTTCTCCGTATTTTCAAGCTCAGAGCTTTCCCTTTCCTTGCAGCTACCAGGATGGCTGAGGTGACCACTGCCCCCACTGAGACGCACACTCTCCTCAACGAGTACGGGGATTACCACAACTGGTCCGAGCTGCTCCACCTCCTGAACTACACCCACACCTTCTGCGAGTTCAGCCTGGATGAGAATGTCAAGCGGGTGATCCTCTTCATCCTTTACCTGGTCATCTTCGTGGTGGGCTTGGTGGAGAACCTCCTTGTCATCTGGGTCAACTGGCAGACACGGGGCAACAACAGCTTGGTCAACATCTACATCATCAACATGGCTATCGCTGACCTCGGAGTGCTGCTCTCACTGCCCATCTGGATGCTGGAGGTGATGCTGGATTACACGTGGCTCTGGGGCAGCTTCCTCTGCCGCTTCACGCACTACTTCTACTTCGCCAACATGTACGCCAGCATCTTGCTCCTCACCTGCCTGAGTGTGGATCGCTACGTGTCCCTGACCAGCTCCTCCCTCTTCTGGCGCAAGCACCAGCGCCGCGCACGCCGCATCATCTGCGCCTGCAGCTGGGCCTTGGCAGCGGTCATCCCGTTCCTGGAGGTCGCTCACATGCAGCTGGTCAATACCGGAGAGCCCATCTGCATCTTCATGGCTCCCTTTGAGACCTACGACGCGTGGGCGCTGGCGGTCAGCTTGGCCACCACCACCCTTGGGTTCCTCATCCCCTTCCCCATCATCACCATTTTCAACATCCTGACAGCCAGGTTCATCAAGCGCACCAAACCAGAGAGCAGGAAGCACTGTCTGCTCATCTACGCCTACGTCGTCGTGTTCCTCATCAGCTGGCTGGCCTTTCCCCTCCTGCTTGAGGGCAGCCACATCATCCTCCACTGCACCTTCGCCCACTTCCTCTACTTCTTCTACGACATCATAGACTGCTTCACCCTGCTCCACTGCGTCATCAACCCAATCCTCTACAACTTCCTGAGCAAAAACTTCCGCAGCAAGCTCATCTCCGCCGTGGTGAAGTACATCCCCAAAGACCAGGGCAGCCAGAAGGGCGCAGACAATTCCTCCTCCACCACGCAGCACTCCATCGTCATCACCAAGGACAACAACCTCCCCAATTAAGGGGGGGTCAGACTCTCCCACCCATCACTGGCAAGCGGTTGCGGGGGCGGCAGCTCCCTGCGCTCGCTGAGGTCAGCAGGATTGTTTCTCCTGGTGATAAGCAGACACTTTGCTTTTAAACATCCCTTCTTGGCCGGCCACCTCCCGCGCTCTGAGGGCACGGTGCCAAGCGCGGGACGACGCGGTGCGGAGAGCTACTGACGTTTTGCCTCTGATGTGCTGCTGCATCCCATCTGTTTGGCTAAAGACAGAACAGGAGAAAGAGAGATTTCCTGTTTTCCAAAAGAAACACTTGCAGTAACGCAGCGCATCACTCCGCCTGCTCCGAGTCCGAACATAGTTTTTTTTTCCCCCCCCCGGAGCCACAGCGCTGGGGGCACACGGTCCTTTCCCTTCTGCAAGCGCAGAATCTGGGTCTGACCGGGCACGGCTGCTTCCGAGCGCAACCGGCCGCAGCAGAGGCAGGTTCCCAGTTTGGGTTTTGCAGCAGGAGACCCGTCCCATTAAACCCACCCTCCCTTAGAGCATCTCCTGGCACGTTTCTGAGGCCACCGGGCGCGTTTCTAACCACCAGCAGACCCCGCAGCCCTTCGCCCGCGCTCCCTCCCGACCGAGGTCACGCGGAAGCGCGCCCCGGGGAACGCGTGCGCGTGCAGACGCCCTCGCAGCCGGAGCGCCG